CCTTGATAACTTTTCCTACTCCAATTAATTGAAATGCCATCAATAAGTTAATAACCAAAACTTTTTGAAGTCCAGAACATTCTATAGAATCCTGGCACATATGTCTGATGCTTATTAGGTATCTTGTTCATTCATTCATTCATTCATTCATTCATTCCTTTAAATACTGTTCTCATTTAAATATCTCCCAGACACTTGAAATGTAATATATCCCATTATAAAATTTGTCAAATATTACTCTTCCCCTATATTCTCTGGTTGTATCTACAAACTTGTTTTTAAAAAAATACTTATATAGGGTTAATTTTTAAAAATATTCTATCTCCTTGATTTATTCCTTTTTACTCATTCTTCAGACATCACTCTCCTGCCATAGAAGACATCTAGCTCTGTTTCTAAAATATCTCCTAACTTGTTTTTCTGCTCTGATACAATCTTCACATTACTGTACACAGTGACCCTTCTAAAAGAAATAATCTAATGAAGTAACTTCTTACTTAAAATCCTTCAATGGCTTTCAGGACAATTTAAGATAAGATCTGATAATCTTAGTATCCCTTAGAAGGTTCTTTATGAACTGGCCTCTATTCTTCCCAACCTTATCTTTTGCCTCTCTTCACCTTGAAACCCCTGTTAGAGTCCTACTGAAATTCTTGAAGTTGATCAATTCTGCATGGCACACTTACAGCCCTAAGTCTAATTGATGTGTTCCTCCATCTGCTTAGAATGCCTTGTTACCCATATTCACTGCAATTTTTTATTGGATTAAAGACCAACATTGAGTGCCTCCATTTTACCTAGGACTTATCTGTTTATAATGTTTATTACATTACATTTATTGTACATATTTATTTGTCTGATTCCTCTTTAAATAGTGCTTCTTTAGGCTAGTGTTATTTTTTTTCCTGTAGCCCCTAATGTCTCACATTTCTCTAACTATATTTGAGATTGAAGCTGTCTACAGTAATATTGTTTAAAGACTTTACACAAATAATTGTCAGAACAATGTAAAAAAAACAGTGATTTTCTTATTCAGAGAGATCCAGAACTGAATTCCAGCTGTGCTACATGACTTTACCAGCTTTCATGCTTTGTTAAGTTTATTATCTATTCTCAAGTTCTATTTTTTTTTTTTGTTTGCAAAAGTATGACTAATTCTTGCTACATAAGATTGAGCTTAGACAAGAACAAGGTAAAATATATGAGACATATGGTAGGTGTTCAAAAATTAGTGTTGATAATAATTTGTTTCATTTCTAAATTTAACTCGAGTGTTGAGCATGCAGTTGCTATTTCTACAAAGATTTTTAAACATTTTTTAAACATAGCAGAATGGTTCTAATTGAAGTGATCCTAAAAAATAAACACGTGGCTTGAAAATTTTATGGAAAGAAACAACAACAAAAAAGGATTGTTCCAAGTATTAAAAATGAAAAAAATGGGGGCACCTTGGTGGCCCAATTGGTTAAGTGTCCGACTTCAGATCAGGTCATGATCTGACAGCTTGTGAGTTTGAGCCCTGCATTGGGTTCTGTGCTGACAGCTCAGAGCCTGGAGCCTGCTTCAGATTCTGTGTCTCCTTCTCTCTCTGCCCCTCTCTTGCTTGTGATCTGTTTCTCACTGTCTCTCAAAAAACAAAATTAAGAAAAAATGCTAAAAACAATTTAAAATAAATAAATTGATGAAGATTTTAAAATGGCAACATATTCACTTTCCTATACCCAATCCAACCTTTTTCTTCCCCCCCTCCATTTTTTTGCATGGTGGCAACAATAATGATGCTAAGAAATAAGCCAAAACATGCAAAATAATCAAGAACATTATGGTGAAAAGGAATTTTTATCTAAAATCATAATTATTGAACTACATTCCAAGTTTATAGTGTTCCTAAAGATACAAGCTAATACCAGAACATACATACACAATTTAAAAAATGAAAAAATACACACGTCTTAGAAACTTTTTGCTAAAAGAGAGTGTGTTCAAAAGTTTGTAGAGCACTGAAATAGATGGCCCCCAGCCACATTTTACATAGCAGATTGGAAGGAAATAGACTCTTTCATAGCCTGCAAGTGATCAACACTCAATTCTTATAGAACATACTTTGAATGAATGCAAAGACATAAAGAAAGAAGGACGGAAGGAAAGAAGGAAGGAAGGAAGGAAAAATAATATTAATTAAGAATGATCTTTCAGATAATCACATTCTAGAGCAACTGGTTAGGTGGAGAGCAATACAGAGCACCAAGTGAATTCAGAATGAACAGGAGACACTCTCCCCACAGCCAAACTTCAGGAAGAAGAATTAGAGATGCTTACTGGAGGGGCGCCTGGGTGGCTTAGTCCGTTAAGCGTCTGACTTTCGCTTAGGTCATGATCTCACAGTTCGTGGGTTCGAGCCCCGCGTCGGGCTTTGTGCTGACTGCCAGCTCAGAGCCTGGAGCCTGTTTCCGAGTCTGTGTCTCCCTCTCTCTCTGACCCTCCCCTGCTCACGCTGTCTCTCTCTCTCCTAGAAATAAATAAATAAAAATATTTAGAGATGCTTACTGGAACATACTACATACCTGGGTTTTGTCATAAATAGTTATATTAGGAACTAAAAGTTGTAATAGATTAAGTTCAATCACCTCCAACAAATCCTGTGTACTTTCCTCTAGTATTAATTTAAAAAATCCTCTAGATGGACTGTGAAATGCTGACATTAGACCTGATGATCAGAGTCAAGATTCTGGAGTCCACATGGATTGGACGAACAGATATGTTAAAACGTCTGTGCTATCCAAAGCAAACTAAACATTTAATGCAATCCTATCAAAATACCAACAGTTTTTTTCACAGAACTAGAATAAACAATCCTAAAATTCATATGGAACTACAAAAGACCTTGAATAGCTGAAGCAATATTGAAAAAGAAAAGCAAAGGTGGAGGCATCAAAATTCCAGACTTCAAGTTATGTTACAAAGCTGTGGTTATCAAAATAGTAGGTACTGGTACATAAATAGACACATAGATCAATGGAACAAAATAAAAACCTAGAAATGACCCACAACCATATGTGTTGATTAATCTTTGACAAAGGGAAAAGAATATCCAATGGGAAAAAGACAGTCTCTTCAACAAATCATGTTGGGACTTGAAACATGTAAAAGAATGAAACTGGACCACTTTTTTACACCATACCCAAAAATAAATTCTCACTGCATAAAAGACTGAAATGTGAGACCTGAAACCCTAAAAATCATAGAGGAGAACACAAATAGTAAACTCTGACATCAGCTATAGCAACCCCCTTCTAGATATCTTTCCAAGGCAAGGGAAACAAAAGCAAATACAAACTATCAGGACTTCATCAGAACAAAAAGCTTCTGCACAATGAAAGAAACAATCAATAAAACTAAAAGGCATCCTACAGATATGGAAGAAGATATTTTCAAATGGCATAATAAGATACGCAATTGGATAAAGAGTTAGTATCCAAAATACATTAAAAATCTTAAACACCCCCAAAATGAATAATCCAATTACAAATAAGCAAAAGGCATGAATAGACATTGTTCCAAAGACATACAGATGGATAACAGACAACTGAAAGGATCCTTAACATCACTCATCATCAGGGAAATAAAAATCAAAACCATAATGAAGTATCAACTTATACCTGTCAGAATGGCTAAAATCAACAGCACAAGAAACAGCATGTATTGATGAGTATGTGGAAAGAAGGGACTCCTTGTGCACTGTTGGTGGGAATGCCACTATGAAAAACCACATGGGGCTTCCACAAAACCTTAAAAATAGAACTACCCTGTTATCCAGCAATTGCCCCACTAAGTATTTGCCCAAGGAATACAAGAACATAAATTCAAAGGGATACATTCACCCCAATTTTTACAGCATCATCATAACTACAATAGCCAAATTATGGAAGCAGTCCAAGTGTAATACGTTACATCTTCTTTATCCATTCATCAGTTTGTGGACACTTGGGCTGTTTCCATAATTTAGTTACTGTAGATAATGCTTCTATAAACATATATGATATATATGATATACATAAAATGTATATTTCCCTCTCTCTCACATATACATATATATATACACATATGAGAGAGAGGCAAACCAAGAAACACACTCTTAACTACAGAGAACAAAATGAGGGTTACCAGAGGGGAGGTGGATGGTGGGATGGGTTAAATACATGATGGGGATTACAGAGACCACCTCCTGTGATAAGCACTGGGTGTTTCATGGAAGCATTGAGTCATTCTATATTGTAGACATGGAACTAATATATTACACTGTAGGTTAACTAACTGGAATTTAATAAAAACTAAAAGATTCTAGAGCTAAAATTAAGATACAACACAGTGAGCAGAAGGCTTTCTAGAATTTACAAGTCAAACTTATCTAAGCCACTTTGACAATATGTGAACATAATTACATAAACATAGACACACAGAAAAGGGTCAACGAGATTTAAGTGAATGAAGGTATTATTAATGTATTAATTATCTTGTTTGTAACTTCAGTGTTTCTATATTTTATACATATAAGATATAAGGTGATTTATATATATATAAAGTGAATTTAATCATGATCAAATATTTTTTTTCACAAACATATCATGTTATCCCATTTATTATAGAGGTTTGCCAAATTTATTTTCCACAGTATCTCTAAAAGTCTCAATGGTCTTTTGTTATATTTTCAAGAGTATTGTTAGCATATAAACCACATACAGGCCCAAGTTTGCAATATTTTATTCAGTAATTATTTTCTAAGAAATCATGTGCGATGACATTGCAAAAATGACACAAAATTTTCCTATCCCTCTGTTCATGTCCCTAACAGTGTGACAGTTTTTCCTATCTAGAAGTGAGGTCTATTTCTCCACCCCTTAAATTGTGACCTGTCCATGTGACTTGCTTTGGTCAGTGAAATATTAGCAATTGTGACGCAACCAGAGGCATACAAAATACTTGCCCAATGGTGCCACCATCTTTCAGTGCTTCTGCTCTTGAAACATCATGTGAATAATGTCAAACTAGCCTACAGGTGTGGGTAAAAGACTAGATGGAAGAGAATCAAGATGCCCTGACTCGTAGCCTTGCCTGGACAGTCAGGCCACCGTATATCATTCAACCACCAGCGATTTACCAGCTGAACATGAATACATGAGACAGCACAGCCCATCACCCAGGATGGGTCAGGTCAGAAGCACACAGTCAATCAACAGAATACTAAAGTAAATGAAAGGTATTTTTTATAGTCACTCAGTTTGGGGTAGTGTGTTTTGCAAATTTTAAATGTTACACAATGAATCATCTCATAGATCAAAAACAAAATACCTTGATAAGCTAATTTTGTTCTGACAAAGAAGGCTTTTAACATAATGTGTAAACACAATAAAAATGATGATATAAGCCATTCAAGAGGGAAAACAAATCCTCACAAGCTTGATATTACTCATTCTTAACTGCTACATCAAATTCCAGATCAAGTAATACTGTTAATGAAGACTACTTTGGTTCCTTTTTCTGAAGGTAACTTATATCTATTTTGTTATCCATAGTGTATTTTACTGTATTTCCCTTAAGACTATTGACTACTACCTTACTGTATTTCTTAAAATATGTGTATATTCTTGTCTCCTCTAGAGACAAGTTATTTTAGACTAGACAAGAATAAGATTTTTTTTTGCCTTTTACTCTCATTCTTGTGAATAAAACAGTGCAATTGAGCCTTATTACCTCTAGAAATTTTATTATTATTATTACTATATAGTCTAATTTCAGTACCATGACTCAAGACTTATTCTTTGAAATAAATTTATGTATATAGAATACCTCCCATAAGGGGCACTTCCTAGACTTTACTTGAATAAATATTGAAACCTTAATATAAACTAAAGATAAACACTGGGGAGTATCTTGTGAGGGTCTTGTTTACCCAAATTTTATGATAGGTGTGCTCAATGCTACAGGGGTGTTGTTTCATTCAGCCCCTCTCATGTGTGCAAATCAGCCCATGTATATGCACATATCTATAATCATCTAAATTTCCATCTGTATCTATATTAAATTACACATGAGTTTACACTCATGTCTTTAACCCATTACCACATGGATCTTTCTAGTCTCCAGCTTATCTGTAAACCCCACTGAGAAAGTAAGAATGCTGGCTCCCATTGCCTATCATCAATTTGCTTAAGTTTTCAGTTCCAGTATACTTACATAATGGTATCAAAATCGTTAACCCATATGCCCTTGGGATACTTTATCAACGAGAGCAAAGTGCGTATGTTCAGTTTCTTTTCCTTTTAACTTACAGACTCAATTCATTTCTAAGATTACTGAGGTCAGCACCTTTCTCCCACCTTCTTCAGTGAGGTGTTTCATACATTTGTAATACAGTTAAATTCTCCTGTCAAAGTCTATATTCTTTCCTGGGATTCCCTGAGCTCCTAAATGATTCTTTTAAATTTGCATACATTAAGTTTCACTCTTTGTGCTATAAATTTCCATGAGTCTAACAAATGTATAATGTCATATTTCACCATTACAATATCATGAAGAACAGTTTCACTAGCCTAAAAATTCTCTTGTGCTTTACCTACTCATCTTTTCCGCCATCCCCTAAAGCCCTGGCATCCACTGATTTTCTTTGCTATCTCTACAGTTTTGACTTCCAGAAAGTCCTATCAATAGAGTCATATACTACGTAGACCTTTTAGACAGGCTTCTTTTATTTTTATTTATTTATTTTTTTACATATCTAAGTCAAATTCATTTCATGAATGTAATGATTATTTTATTTTTTAATTATAATTTTTATTTTAATTCAATATAGTTAATTTACAGTATTATGTTAGTTTCAGGTGCATAATATAGTGATTTGACAATTCTATATGTGATTTGACAAGTCTGTATAATACTCAGTACTCATCAAGATCGACGTACTCTTTTTAAAAATTTTATTTATTTTTGAGAAAGGCAGAGACAGAGCATGAACGGGCAAGGAGCAGGGAGAAAGGAAGACACAGAATCCACTTTAGGCTCCAGGCTGGGAGCTGTCAGCATAGAGCTAGTCACGGCTGGAAATCACTAGCCCCAAGATCATGGCCTGAGCCAAAGTAAGAAGCTTAACTGACTGAACCACGCAGATGCCCCAAGATAAGTGTACTCAACCCCCTTCATCTATTTCACTCATCCTGCTTCCACTTACCTCCCCTCTGCTAACCATCTCTTTGTTTTCTATAGTTAAGAGTCTGTTTTTTGGTTTGTCTTCACTTCTTCTCTTTTATTCATTTGTTTTGTTTCTAAAATTCCACATATGAATGAGGCTTCTTTTATTTAGCAATTTATACTAAAGCTATCTGCTGTCTTTTTGTGCTTTATACTTTTGTAAATTAATAAGCTTTATTTTTTAGAGCAGATTTAGAAACCTAAAGCAAAAAAGTTGAACAGAATGCAGAGTTCCTATATACTTCCTTTGCACACATTAGTGTAGTACATCTATACAACTGATGAACCAACATTGACACATTATTATTAACCAAAGTCCATAGTTTACATTAGGGCTTACCTTTTGTGTTGTACTGTAATAGGAGTTTTAACAAATGTACCATGTCACATATTCACCATTACAGTATTGCACAAAATAGTTTCACTGGCCTAAAAACCCCTTAAGCCTCCGCAATCTCCCTCTCCCAATATGCTAAACCCTAGGTAATCACTGATCTTTTTACGTCTTTTTACATTTACCTTTTACTTTTTATATAATTGGAATCATATAGCATGTAGACTATTTAGACTATCTTCTTTCACTTAACAGTATGCATTCAAGGTTGTTCAATGTGTTTCATGGCTGGATAGCTCATTTCATTTCATTTTTTAATAATATTGTGTTATGTGGACATATAAGTTGTTTAATTATTTATCTATTGAAGGAAATCTTCAGATTTTTGTGAGTCATGAATAAAGTTTCTAAAGATACTCATGTTTAGGGTTTTATGGTAACATAAATTTTCAACTCGTTTGGGTAAATATCAAAGAGCACAAACTAAGAATATGATTTGGGTCTTGTTTTTTTGCTCTTTTGCTTGTTTGTTTGTTTAAGAAAAATATTTGTGTTGTCTTCCAGACAACTCTTTGTGTCTTTCAAAAAGTAGTTTTTAATTTTAGTAAATTTAAAATATCAATTTTTTTAAATGGAAAGTTTTTGGTGTTGTATCTACAAACTCATTGTCAAACCCAAATCTGAGGAACTTCCTTTCCATGTGTAGTTTGCTGAGTGTTTTTATCATTGTGGGTGTTGGGTTGTGTAGAATAATTTTTTGGCGTCAATTAAGATGATTTTTAAGCCATTGTGGATTATATTAATTGATATTCAAATGTTGAAACAAGATTATATGCCTTAAATAAATCCCACTTGGGGTAGAGTATAGAATTCTCTTCACACATTGTTGGACTTGACTTGTTAATATTTTGTTGAGGATTTTTGCATCGATGTTTCTTGAGAAATTTTGTTTTGCAGTTTTCCTTTCTTATAATGTCTTTTTTCACCTGGTATTAGGTTTATGCTGACCTAATTGAACAAGTTGGATAGTGGTTCTGTGCTTTTATTTTTTGGATAAAATTATAGAGAATTGGAATCGCTTCTTCTTTATATGTTTGATAAAACTCATCAGGAAAACTATCTGTATCTGATGTTTTTTCCTTTGGAAGTTATTAATTATTGACTCAGATTCTTTTATAGATATAGGCCTCTTCAAATTATGCATTTCTCCTTAGGTGAGTTTTGGGAGGTTTGGGTTTTTGTGTGTGTTTGTGTGTCTATCATGGAATTGATCCATTTCCACTAAGTTATCAAATTTGTGGCCATACAGTTTTCATAACTTTCTCTTATTATACTTTTAATATCAAAGGGATACATGGTAATAATCCCTTTTTCATTTATGATTTTAGTAACTTTTATCTTCTCTCTTTTTTTTTTCTTGGTTAGCCTGGCTAGATTAATAAAATCTCACTTATCTTTTCAAAGGAACTACTTTGATTTCATTGATTTTTTTTCTATTGATTTTCTGGTTTTCAATTTAATTCATTTCTGATCTAATTATTATTTCTCTTCTTCTTGCTTTAGGCTTACATTGTTATTTCTTTTTGTGGCTTCTTAAAGTGCAAAGTCAGATTATTGATTTGAAATCTTTCTTTTCTAATATATGCATACAATGCTATACATTTCCCTGTAAACACTACTTTTGCTGCATCTCACAAATTGAGACGACTTGTAATTCATCTTAATTTAGCTCAAAGTATTTTTAACTTCTCTTGAGATTTCTTATTTGGCCCATGTCTTATTTAAGGAGATTGTTCAGTACACATCAGAGTTAAAATTGAAGTTGGGTTTTTTTTGCATTTTTATTCTGTGATTGACTTTATCAGAAAATGAAATTTAAAAATTATGACTATCTTGGGGAGCCTGGGTGGCTCAGTTGGTTATGTGTCTGACTTTGGCTCAGGTCATGATCTCACAGTCCGTGGGTTCAGGCCCCACGTCAGGTCTGTGCTAGTTCAGAGCCTGGAGCCTACTTCGGATTCTGTATCTCCCTTTCTCTCCGACCCTCCACTGTTCATGCTGTCTTTCTCTCTCTCTCAGAAATAAATAAAATATTTAAAAAAATTATGACTAACTTGATGGTTTCAATGAGGTTCCCATTAACTAGAGGAAGTTTTTTGTTTATTTATTCATGTTTATTTTGAGAAAGAGGTAAAGATGAACAGTTCAATGTCTGACATTCTATCTTTATTCTAGAGATCCTTGATCAAACAGACATGCCCAAAGATTTCTGCTAGTTATTACTGCGATTGACCACACTTTATCTCCTAAGTTAAAATCTTCTACTTGTTCTTAAGAATCCTTTTAAGTGGAAATGTCATTATCCATCTATCTTGCTTAAACAGAACAAGCACCACAGTACTTTTAAGATACTGGTGTTTCATTCTTTGTGGTATTTCTCAAAGTCTTTTTAATGAAAATATTTTCTGTGGCTTCCTGCAGGAAATAGTTAAGTGCTGGCAGAGAAAGTTGCACATAATACATCCATTCTAACATTTCTACCTCTCCACATAATATGAAGGCATTTCTGGCATTTTTGTTTTATTTAGCAAAGTCACACATTGGTCCATCTTTCAGTCAAGAAATTGTTAACAATCAATTAGTTTCTGACCTTTTTTTAAAAATATTTTTACTTATTTCTAGGAGAGAGAGAGACAGTGTGAGCAGGGGAGGGTCAGAGAGAGAGGGAGATACAGACTCTGAAATAGGCTCCAGGTTCCGAGCTGGCAGTCAGCACACAGCCTGACGCGGGGCTCGAACCCACGAACCGCGAGATCATGACCTAAGCGAAAGTCGGACGCTTAACCGACTAAGCCACCCAGGCGCCCCTAGTTTCTGACTTTTGTGTTACCACATTGAATGAAGAATGTCTGAGAGCTGTATCCATACCAGCAAATTGATCATAACTAAAACTGTACTTCTCTCCTTTGTATTCCCAGAATCCACTGCCACATGTATTTCACAGATCTGCAGCTAACCAATTTGGAAAATCTTGCAATTATGTATACTGCTGTGAAAACCGTCTCTTAGTTTGCTTTGTAAAGTGCTCTCTCCCTCACACCAAGCACATACTGGGATTAGACTCTATTTGTAAGACTAGTAAGATAATATTTTGAGGGCAGACATAAGGATTAGATTCCTCTTGCTATGTAACTGTCTCAAGTAGTTTTTTTTTTTGTTTTGTTTTAAAAGGGTCTTAAAAATTAAAAATAAAAATAAAAGGGTCTTAAAACAAGACAGATATATTTTCATTATGCAGAAGAGGAGGTTAGCAATGGAGAGTCAGTGAACTTTATGGATCCAGGGGAATTTGAGTCATTTGAATCATCTGAATATTTCCATATGTCTTTATTCCATTCCATAGAACCCATAGAATTATGTTTTTTCTCAGCAACAACCTAGCTTTCTCTTAAGGAATGTGGTTAAGGTTTAAATTTAAAAAATAATTGAAATCCAAAAATTCACAAAAGCAAATGTTGTGTTTACTTTTTGGCCACATTAATGCTTTGGCAGCAAATATTGAGGTTCTTTATAATGCTTATACAACCTTCATGGTTCTCAGACTTTGCCTTGATCTGAGAATTTGGGATTTTGCACATATCTCTCCTTTTCTGCAAGCCCTCCTGCATAATTAAAAGCATGAAATCAATCTCTCACTCTTATACAATTTATCTGAATAGTCTTTTGGTTCCCCTAAAGCTTTGCTTTCAACAAGTATTTTATTCAGAGCAGTTACAGGGAATTTATTTATTTTGTCACTGCATGCCATGTGATAAAGTCTGATGCTAGCTAAATTCTTACTGTCTTCAGGATTGACCTGACCAGAAAACAAAGTACAGTTCTCCATAAATGGAAGTTACGTTGCCAGCAACCACGTACAGTCCTACTTATGTATGCTCTGGGCACTTGGCTGCAACAAGAAAGTTCACTTTGCCTCATTTATGCACGTGCACGAGCGAACACACACACACACACACACACACACACACACTCACACACATACACACAGGGTTTGTTTAAAAATTAGGAAAAGCCTGATAGAAAGTTCACAGGGATAATCTTGATTCTCCTCTGGAAACAGCTGCCGAGTCCCACCATAGAATGAGCCTCTTGAGGAAACTTCTGGTGCTGTGCTTTCCATCATCAAGCAGAAAATGAAAGGTGTTCATCTTTACAAAGCCACTTCTCAGCACCAATTCTACTTCTGCCTCAGCAGGTAATCAATCACACAACTCCTGACGTTCTTCTCATCCTTTGTTACCATCCACAGCAGCAACACTGGAGTTGCAGCACAAAGTCCCTGCCACCAGTCACTTACTATGAACAAAACTGTATGTATGACTGGAAAAGTATAAGTCACATATCCACTTTTTAATGTGCAAGGGAGTCTGAGAATTCAAATTCTGGTTTCTACATCTGAGAGACAGGATTGATGGAAATTTCCCCCAATTGTGCAAACACTATTCAAGAGATGATCATGTATATGACAAATGTCGGTTATAGTAACCAGCTACTACTATTAGACTCACTCTTCCTGTTGTGATTTTTATGATTTTTTTTTGAGTCACCATTGCTTTTGCTTCATTTCTAGGGCAGCCTCTCATCAGCTGGAAGTCTGTCTCCTTTCATATTCTCTTGAGGAAATCCAATGCATGACGCTGGTATAAGCAAAGGATATAAGGAATACGAGCAAACAGCTATTAATAAGTGTCAAATAGAGTTTTCTCTGAATTTAGTCACTGAATTTAGACTCTAATTTAGACTCAGTCATAAGACTGAGCATTGATACTCTGGTTTTGAAAATTATCCCACCTTCCTTCTCTGGCCTCAGGCCAGAATTAATGGTCTGAAGAGAGCAAGAGCATTAGGAAAGAACCCAGCTCCAGAATGCTGGTGTTGGTCTCTACTTTTGCCAGCAGTGGGCCTACCACACCTGTTATTAAAAGAGGTGCTGAGGCAGCAGGGCAAGCCGCAACAGAGACAACATCAGCAGGAAAACCCCAATTGTCAGGAAGAGCATATAATTATCTCTGCTTTCTAGAGCACAATTTCTTAACCATGGATTGCTGAAAAATAAACATGCTGGGCTCCACTCTGTCCAAGGTACTGATTTGGTAGGTCTGAGTGTTTAGGCATCTATAATTTATAAACACACAAACAAATAAATGTTTCACATGAATCTGAGATATGCTCTTTGTTTAAAAATACTGCTGTAATGTGAGAAAAGATACTTTTTTGTGGAAAGAAGCATGAGAGGGCTGATATTCTATATTTGGTTAATATCTACAGTGAAAGACAAAATCGGGAGTACTTAGTGTGCATGCCTTCGATTGCAATCTGAGAAGAAACACGCGTAGAACAGGAGTGGGGCATAAATGGTGAGTCTTTTAGGGGCACCTGGGTGGCTCAGTCACTTAAGCACCTGACTTAGGCTCAGGTCATGATCTCACAGTTGGTGAGTTCAAGCTCTGCATTGTGCTCTCTGCTATCAGTGAGGAGCCCCCTTTGGATCCTTTGTCTCCCTCTCTCTCTGCCCCTCCCCCACTTGTTCTCTCTCTCTCTCTCCCTCTTGTCTTGCAAAAATAAACATTTTAAAGAAAATAATTACAGCTCTACTTCTTCAATATTCTGCCACCAAAATACTGAAATGAACATAAAAGTATACCAACTCTCAGTACAGTAAATAGATGATAACATTTTCTAATATTTTAAGGTATAGACTTTTGCTCTACGTTTCTTCAGCTAAATTCTATTTGCTAAATATTTCTTTGTAAGGTAGCCATTTATTTAAATGGTCAAACTTCAGGTAGGAAATAGAAGCTTTGAGCTATCATTTCAGAAGATGATTGATGGTATATTTTATTACCCATATGAGGTATATGTTTCCCATTATTTTGAACACAAATAATTCTACAAGGTTAAATGTAGGAATAGGTCCATGGATGTGAAAATTCTAATACAACACAAATTAGTATTTGGTATTTTATCATTTCTCCCTTTAGTTATCTTCTCTTAGGTTCTAAATCCTAAAGTCTAAATTACACGAGAACTAGATAGATCTATTCCTCACACATTTCCTTGTAACAGCCCTTTTGAAAGTTTAAAGAGAATCAGAAAGTTTTATTTTTCCAGGTATACCATCCTATATCCAGATATTAATTTTAGCTTAAAGTTCCTCAACAAATTGATAAGAGCTTCATAGGAGGAAAATCTATAGGGTTTTGAAACCTGAACAACAAAGATTGTGGCAGGCACAGATCTTAACCTCTATGTATTGAGGGCAGAGTTAAGTTGATTAGTTATCTGGGTTTGATATGGGGGACTCTGTGTTTCTGTTGACCCCCTTTGTTCAGTGCCTCATGGATGGGGCTGCTGAGTTTTTAATCTCACATATTCTATCACAGTCTCCATTAGAGATGTAATCACTCAACTGTCAAATCTATTTTGAAAAGGATTTTGGAGAGAGAATACAGCGATTTATTCTTTACTTCTCTGAAATGATCTTTTCTGAAAATCACACTACAAGCATACACAAGGGATAGTGTAATACAATCTCTGACAGCATTAGTTTGCTAACCTTATCCAATAAAGAGATTCTTCTTACAGAGGTTTATCATATTACCTCATCTCATGGTGGTATTGCCCTCTTTGGAAAAAAAAAAAAAAAACACCTGTTCAAAGAAATGCAAAGAAAATAATAGCTTTGAAGGATAAACACATATTCTAGTATTTTCAGGGTAACATGAGCAATGCTGCAGGCATCTGATGCTGGCACACCATCAGTCTACTATCATACACAATACACAAATGCATACATTGCACTGAATGTAAAGTGTACAATAATCAGTCCAATCAGAACAGGAATATTTACTTGTCATTAAGACTGAATGGCATAGATTTCCATCCAACTTTATAATCAGAGCATCAGGCACTCTACATTAGCAATGTCATGGAGTATGAGTGCAGTGTGAAGACATAGAGACCAGGAAAATTAGAAAATTCTAAGTTGTGATTTGCACAGACAATAAAATAAAATCCAATCTAAGAAACATCAGTCATGTTGTGGTGGTGCTTTTTAAATTATTTGCAAGCAGCCTCAAATGAGGCTGATATTTGAATGATTTCTAATATTTTAAGATCCTGAATCTTTTTTTTTTTTTCTGAAAGCCTGCTACTCACCCCATGGGTGAAGAGAGGATCTTCTCCTCAACCCTAATAGATTGAGGTGGGTGAACATACAATATCCAACACCAGACAGATGACACAGACGACCATTTACTTGTCACATATATCCACAGCCTGGGAGAAGAGGCTCAGACTCAGGGTTTGAACTCAGAAGAGCAAAGTAAGAAACAGACGCTGTGGGGAAAAGCCTTTGTAGTAAACAAGAGGGTGCGGTGACCCTCGGTTGCCACAGCCTTCTTTGAATAATTCTGTAGGTTGGCAAGGAACTTATATCTGCAACTCAGGGACAAGCAGAGTCTATTCCATGATAAGGAGAAATGTTTGGCTTAGGAATCTTATCCAAGCAAGCAGAATGGAGAGGAGCATCAGTAGTTTGGCCATTTGAAGTCCTCCCAATTTTCCGAGATGTCAAAGTGGCACTTAACATTGAACCTCAATTTCAGGCCCTACACCACATCTTTGAATATATGTAAAATGATTATATCATATTCTATATTATTCTCTTCTCATTTTGATAATCACATCCCTGGTGAATACTACCTGGAATATAATTAACCCATGAAGATGTTTTGGTTTTTAAAATCTGTGCCTGGTTTATTCATCATGGAAACATTTATTTCTGGATTAAAACTGCAACATGCAGAAGAATGAAACTAGATCATTTTCTCACACCATGCACAAAAATAAACTCAAAATGGATAAAGGACCTGAACGTGAGACAGGAAACTATCAACACCCTAGAGGAGAAAGCAGGAAACAACCTCCTTGACCTCCACCGCAGCAACTTCTTACTTGACACATCCCCAAAAGCAAGGGAATGAAGAGCAAAAATAAATGATTGGGACCTCATCAAGATTAAAAGCTTCTGCACAGCCAAGGAAACAACCCAGAAAAGTAATAGGCAACCAACGGAATGGGAAAAGATAGTTGCAAATGACATATCAGATAAAGGGTTAATATCCAGAATCTATAAGGAACTCACCAAACAACACACCCGAAAAACAAACAACCCAGTAAAGAAATGGGCAGAAGACATGAACAGACACTTCTCCAAAGAGGACATCCAGATGGCCAACAGACACATGAAACGATGCTCAGCATCCCTCCTCATCAGGGAAATACAAATCAAAACCACACTGAGATACCACCTCACACCAGTCAGAGTCGCTAAAATGAGCAAATCAGAGAACTCTAGATGCTGGCGAGGATGTGGAGAAACGGGCACCCTCCTACACTGTTGGTGGGAATGTAAACTGGTAGAGCCCCTCTGGAAAACAGTGTGGAGGTTCCTCAGGAAACTAACAATAGAACTCCCCTATGACCCAGCAATAGCACTGCTAGGAATTTACCCAAGGGATACAGAAATGCTGAGGCATAGGAGCACATGTACCCCAATGTTCATAGCAGCACTCTCAACAATAGCTAAAACATGGAAAGTGTCCATCAACAGATGAATGGATCAAGAAGATGTGGTTTATCTATACCATGGAATACTACATGGCAATGAGAAACAATGAAATCTGGCCATGTGTAGCAACATGGATGGACCTTGAGGGTGTTATGCTGAGTGAAATAAGTCAGGCAGAGAAGGACAAATATCATGTTTGCACGTATAGGAGGATTAGGAGGAACTTGACGGAGGAACAAGGGAGAGAAGAAGGGGGGAAATGGTGGGGGAAAGGGAGAGAGGCAAACCATGAGAGACTCTTGAATGCTGACAAAAACTGAGGACTGATGGATGTGGGGGGGGGGATGGGCATGGAGGAGGACACTTGTGGGGATGAGCACTGAGTGTTATGTGGAAACCAATTTGACAATAAACTATTTGTAAAAAATAAATAAATAAATAAAATAAAAATAGCGCCAAATGCTAAAAAAAAAAAAAAAATAAAACTGCTTCATTTGATACTTGTATGCAATTCCCACTATGAAAATGAGGATACTAACATTAAAGATGTATTTTCCTGTATCCACACAGCAGATCTATGAATCTATCATTAAACAGGTAAGTAAAGAGAAATCGCATGTTTGGGTTTTAAAGGGACAGGAGCTCACACCTAACACTGTTCCACTAAAAAGTTGGCCTTAGGTAACAGCTACCCCTTTCCTCCATTGTGTCTAGTCAAAATATGCTTACCATTATTATATATTATGGACATTTAGTCCTGCTTTTCAAAATCATGATATCCTGTTTCCTAGTTTAATAAATATGATTCTTCTGTAAGATAATCAGATTCAAAATAGTACACTTCTTGAACATCATACATAATTTTAGTTAATTTTGGTCTAGATTCTAGAGTGGCTTTTCTAAAGTCCTTGAAAAATGCAAACATTTTTAGTGTAAACATTCAACATCACTGTGATAGTTTCCCTGCAATTTTTTGCATGCCATAGTTCAGAAACCACTTCAGACATGGACGATTGTTCATGGAGTTTCATTAAAAAAATATATCTTCACTATGCTTTTTGTGTGAAAATTTTTAACCCAATAAGCTTAAATATATACATAATTGAGTTATATCAGGAATATATCATTCTAAGAAAGTTTATTTTTAAAGAAAATATTAATAGATCAAAAGTTTCTAAAGGTGTCTGAGTACTAAAATATATATGGGGCGCCATGGTGGCTCAGTCAGTTGAGTGTCCAACACTTGGTTTCAGTTCAGGTCATGATCTCATGGTTTGTGAGTTTAAGCCCCACATCAGGCTCTGCATGGACAGTGCAGAGCCTGGTTGGGATCTCTCTCCCTCTCTCTCTCTCTTCCACTACCCGGCATATGCTTTCTCTCTCTCTTTCTCTCTCTCTCTCCCTTTCAAAAATCAATAAAATAAACGTTTAAAAACAAAATATATAGGAATAAATATGTAAATAAATTCTCCCAAATGAAATATTGTCCTTATTATTAACATCCTGTCCATTTCTTAGTGGTCTTCAAAATGAATTATAATGTTATTTTTAAAATATAGAATTCTGCTTATAAAAAATAAACATGC